TTCCTTTTGGAAGTGGTAGAGGGTAGAGGATGGTATCTGTCCTGGGCCTTGGAGGGATCAAGATTAGGTTATAAGAGGGGGGAAAAAAGCATATAAGAGAAAAGCCATCACAGAAAACTGTCTAAAAACCAGAGATTAAAAAAAAAAAAAAGAACCAGAGATTTTAATTAGCTCACAACCCATTTTTTTGGATCAGCAGATTCAGGTGATAAAATAATTTCAGTGGAGATAAGATACATACTGCTTCTCAAACCTCTGTGTAGAATGTCACAGGAAGGCACAACCAAGTAGATTGTGATCTGCATTCTGAAGGTAAGTTTTCCCCAGGCCAACGCTTTGAGATGTGTGCTAGAGGTTGTAGGGAACCCACAATGATGGGCATGCCTCTTGGATGTCTCATCTCTGGGGAGACCAAGTTGGACTGGGGATCACATTTCAGGGAACTTCAGAGGCCTGGCCTGAACTTCACCCACATATTGTTAAAACAACAATAATAATGCAACTGATGGATAACTTAACTCTACATCTGAAACTAATGATATACGATATATTGGCTAATTGAATTTAAATTTTTTAAAAAGTGAGAGATTGTGTAGACAGTTATTAGAACTAAATGAAGGAACTTATGAATTACTTATATGTACTCAGCAGTTATATAATAGTTTTTAAAATAAAGGGAAACATTGCAGGAAGGTAGAATGAATATGAGAGGGACCCAGGTTTGAATTCTGATTCTGCTCCTTGCTAGCTGTGTGGTCTTAGAAAAGTTCCTGAAATTTTATGAACTGCATGTTCCTTATCTGTAAAATATATTTTTACAGGGTCATCATGAGAATTTATAAGAATATATAATAGGTGGAAAATAATTGGTAGTAATAATAATACCTGACACTTACATAGCAGTCTCTTTGTGCCAGGGATTATTCAAAAAAATTGTATACTCATTGAATTATATGCTCATTGAATCCTCAAGAAAAGAAAAAGAATGAGTTAAATACTATTATGATGCTACTTTAAAGAGAAACCAGACAGGGAAAGGTTCAATCACTTCCAGAAGTGTAAAGGGCCTGGTCAGTCAGAGCCAGGATTTAAACCCAGAAACCTGGTTGTTAAACATATTGTCTCTCAATAAGGTATTAATCACAAGAACATTGTTTGGGTATAGGTTGATTAGAAAGAACTTGAGACATGAGACTAGAGATGACTGGCATTTATGAAAGACAAAGAGTATGTGAGAATATAATATTACTGGCGACCAGCTTTAACTGTGGAATCCAGTGGAAGAATTTTGGAACAGACTTTTTGTTTTGAGTGGTCCCTGCTCTTTGGAAAAGGACAAATTCTGCTGACTTGTATGATTTAAAACTGGGCTAGGAACTAGAAGGATAAAGTCCCTTTTCTTTTGAAGGCAAAAATTTCCTTTCAAGCATGTTTCATCTTTTTTGATAGTTTTATACAAATTTCTCATTTAAATACTGTATTTTTACCATTAACAATCTTGTCTCTTATTTTCTTGACATTCTTTTTTACAGGCCCTAATTATTGTCCAGTTTCTGGGTGTTTCATATCTGACCACAGCAGGTCAGATAAGACCTGTATATGCCAGTAATAACCATTAGGTGCATTTCTTGTTGTTTTCTCCTACATTCATCTAGCCTGTTCTCCAGCAAAGTTATACTACTTTATTTCATACATGTGTGGTGGTTCCTTCTCAGTTTTGTCCTCTCCAAAGAATCCACAGTATCATTTCCCATCTGAATTGTCTACATGCTGTGTATGTGAATCTCATATATGAATCCAGCCCATTATGCTTTTCTTCTGTGTATACTTTTTGTTAATGATGCCATGAGGAAGCAGAAGAAATATACAAACCCAAAGTTTTGTAAAGAGTTCTCTTTCTCTATGGTGGATCCTCCCAACTCAACATTTTTTCCCTCACTTACACATTTTCCATAGACTGTCTTGTCTACACAAAGGAATACTATCTCTACACTGTCTATTCCCGGATTTGCACCTCCAGGCCAGAGCTCTTCCAGAAACTGTCGACCTGTTCACAAGGTATCTCTATTTGGATGTCTTAGGCAATTCAGATTCAACCTGTGCAAAACCTAATTCGTCATTTTCCATTCCTTCTTTCCTACCCCAACCAAGCACCTTCTCCTGTTCCTTACCAATCTCAGGAAATGGCATGACTATCTACCAATTTGTCCAAGCTGGACACTTGGAGCCATTCTTGACTGTTTCCTGTTCTTTAACTCCCATATGAATTTTTTATTAATCCCCACTGCCTATTATCTTAATTCAAACAACCATATTTCTCATTCCTGAAATAGCCTTCTATTCAAGCTACTATTCCTAGGTCTTACCACCCTTGTGAACAGACAGAGAAAATAACAATATATGAAGAACTATTACAAACCAATTAGAAAAAGACCAACAATCAATAGGAAAAGGAATTAAGGGTATGAAGGAAGAGGACAAGAACCAGTAATTCATAGAAAGATGCTTACCGGGACACCTGCACCCCGATGTTTATAGCAGCAATGTCCACAATAGCCAAACTGTGGAAGGAGCCTCGGTGTCCATCGAAAGATGAATGGATAAAGAAGATGTGGTCTATGTATACAATGGAATATTACTCAGCCATTAGAAGCGACAAATACCCACCATTTGCTTCCACGTGGATGGAACTGGAGGGTATTATGCTGAGTGAAGTAAGTCAATTGGAGAAGGACAAACATTGTATGTTCTCATTCATTTGGGGAATATAAATAATAGTGAAAGGGAATATAAGGGAAGGGAGAAGAAATGTGTGGGAAATATCAGAAAGGGACACAGAACATAAAGACTCCTAACTCTGGGAAACGAACTAGGGGTGGTGGAAGGGGAGGAGGGCGGGGGGTGGGGGTGAATGGGTGACGGGCACTGAGGGGGGCACTTGACGGGATGAGCACTGGGTCTTATTCTGTATGTTGGTAAATTGAACACCAATAAAAATAAATTTATTATTAAAAAAAACTTTTAGATACAAGGTTGAGAAAAAAATGGGGCAGAAGATAATTTTTTGATGGAGAAGGAAGGAATTTGAATTTGGGGATCTGAGAAGGAATGTCCTGCAGAGTCAAGATCACTGATTAATTGCCTAAGTAAAGGGATTGTCAAATGGCAAAAAAAAAAAAGAAAAAAGAAAAAAGAAAAAGAAAGAAAGAAAGATGCTTAATCTCACAAAGGGAGTAAGAAAATAAGTTTAAAATAAAGCAACAGTGGATTACCATTTTTCCATTATAGGAGACCCAAAGTTGAAAGACACGTGGTTCCAAAAATGTAGGTAAACAGACATCAGTGTATGTATTTTTGGTGCGAATGTAAATGGGTGCAATTTCTTTGAAGGACAATTGATAATTATAAGTAAACTTACAAATGTACACATCTTCTAAGAGGATGGATCTTTTAATTGTATTTTCTTTGACACAATTCTTTTTTACCATGTGCATATATTACTTTTTCAGTAAGAAATGTGTTAAATAGTTTTTAAAAATTAGCTTCTGTTGAAAGGAAGAGTCTTTCATTAGGGCAGTAGCATGATGCCTCCTGTTACATCATGGCACTGCCCCCCAGCAGCAGTAGCCCTGATTTCCTGTCTTCACGTCACATACCTATCCCATTTACTTCAGGGCTCTGATGGCATCTGCTTGGAGCTACTCACTTACTCATTCTTTTTCTTTTCTTCCTCCTTCCCCTTATTTCAGAGATAATTTAAGAGGACTGATGGGAACTTGATATAGGTACTCCAAAACTAAAGCTTATCAAAGTAATTTCTATTAATTTACACAAATCATAATACTACATTTTGATTACAGGAAACTTGCCATCTGAAGCTTCTTTCAGGCTATTTTTTTTAAAAGATTTTATTTATTTATCCAAGAAAGAAACAGAGAGAAGGCAGGGACATAGGCAGAGACATAGGCAGAGGGAGAAGCAGGCCCCTCACAGAGAGCCTGATGCGGGCTCAATCCCAGAACTCCGGGATCACGCCCTGAGCCGAAGCAGATGCCCAGCCACTGAGCCACCTGCGCGTCCCCCGGCTATTTTTAATTCATTTTCACTTCCTAACACATACATACTGTACTAGCAATGTCCCAGAGCATGGTAGAAGATTGGGAGAGGTCAGCCGGAATTTAAAAGTGGTTGTGGACAAGGTACTCTTCAAATTGGGTTTAAAGTTCCCTTCTGGGAATAAAAATTTGAAGAATCAAATTAATTATGAGCCCCGTAATCTATAAGCACTAACATAACCATGGGTTGCCTTTTAATATTTGATTAGCATTTGAGTAATACCCCCAATCCAATCAAGGTGATCTGGCTCTAATTCCAGAACAGCAAGACTTCTCCACGTAGGACTAAAATGAAGAAAGCTTAAACCTCCTGAACCGGAATGAACTCTTTTGGAAGATAGAATTCTTGGGGGTGTCAGACTTGAACAGGGAGGTGGAAAGCAAGCATTGGTCATGTGTCTTCAAGATGAACAGGGCGTTTTAACCAGCAATAGAGTTCATTTGGACGTGTTTACCCTTACGGGTTATGCATCAGGTGAGAGCCATCAAGGCTGTCCAGTCAGAGCCTGGCTCCCTGGGCCACTTGGTTTCTCAGTTTTACCTGCAGCCTGCCTCACCTGGTGTCATTTCACTCTTAGACCTTGGGGGCTTTCGGGGCCATTTAGTTTAACCTCTTCCCAATACAGGAATGCTTCCTGACTTCTCATCACTTCCTATTCCGGCTCCACATTAAGGATTCTTCTAAATAAACTTGTTCTATTAGTCCCTGAGTAAGCTTGCCCTCCCAGCTGCAGATTAAATTCCCAGATTTTATCGGGAGAAACTCTTCAGGCCACTCTTAAGGCTACTGAAGGCCAAATCCACTCTTTTAAGGTAAATGGTTAATATTCTCACAACAACTTTATTTGGTCTTAATGGGGGGGGGGATGAAAACAATACAATGACTATTTTAATTTCTTTATTTATCAATAGTATCCAAAAAAGGGGGAGGGGGGAGAAAGAAAAGAATCAGGAGTTACAAAAACAAGTTAAATGCAATATGGAAGCCTACTAATACAAATACATTTCACAAACACATAGGCAACAGAAACATGTTCAAATTGCTTCTTGAAATTTGATTATTTAAAGACAAGTGTAAAGGAAAGACATTCAGATTTGTCCACATGGGCTTACTAGCAGGTGGAGGAGCCCTGCTTTCCAAAAACAGTGATGGGAGTCCAGAGTCATGGCATGTGAGGTTTCCATGAACACTGAATCCTAACAGGCGCTATAATATGTTAGTAAAATCATATACACACTGAGAAAGCCCAAGGAAGCTTGCAGTCTAAGCTCTGTGCTTGTAGAGAGCTGGAGGAACTGAACCTGATTTAATCCTATTTGCTCCATGCAAAGCTCTATGCAAGACTCCCCAAACTAGGCTATTTAGCAGCTTTCCATGAATGGTCATCAGATTGTGTGTTTCTGTGGTGCAGACAATAGCGTCCCTGCTTACAGGAGAATGCAGATCGCTCTAGGGAAATCCATATTGCAGGGTAGGGTGGTCTTAGATGGCAACCACTGTCCTAAATGTAACTGGTGAGGAAACACTTCTTGCTTTAAACAAACTGGTATTCCCACCCTCTCTCTCTCAGGGTCCAAGGGCCGGCAAAACTCAGTCAAGGTGTGCTGCTGGGAGTTCTCCAAGGCAACCGGAGAGGGAGGTACATTTCAGAATGCACAAGTGGGGCTTGAAGAGAGCTTTTAAATGGAATGTATACAAAAGCTCAGAATTCTAAACAAAATGGAACATTCACCTTTCGAAGGAGAACAAGGAAACTTGTTTAGAAGGAATTCCACATTGAGCACAACTTTCTCAGAGTTACCTATGCAGTGCAATCTATGTAATTTCCCCCTCATGGTCTGTAATCTGCCTCCTGAAAATGAGATCTTGTGTCCAGTTTTTAATCTTAGTTGTTCCAAATGCATCTTAAACATGGTAAATAGTGGGGTTAATACTCAGAGTCCAAAAGACAGGAATGATGGACTTCTCCCCAGTCACAGTTTGAACACTCAATTTCCATTTTTCCCTCCTCTTAAAATGTGAAACCATCTTTTATCCTCATCTTGAAAGGGTAAAGCTATTTCTGTTTCCAAGAAAGTTAAAGATGGAGCACAGAAGTGAAGGCAAGGTTGGGAGTGGTTCTCTTTTCCATTCTCTTCCTGGACAGACTTTACCCGAGAGGGCTGTACATCGCAGCACAGCCCAGGCAGCCATCCAGACTGAGGTAAGATTTGGTCATCTTGGTTTTGGCCATCTGGCCCTTTTGATGTAACAGTAAGGTTTCATTTATCCTAAGAAGAAGGAAAATCATAGGAACCTGTACTCTTCTGGACCAATGATCAGAACCACAGAATTTATAATTTATCAAAGTGATAGGTTAATGCACTCCTACTTGCTCAATGAGGAAAACAGAGGCCCAGAAACAGGAAGAGACAGGGCCAAAGTCACTCTCCTAGTTAGTGGTGGATCAAAGAGCATATTAATAGGCACACATATCCGAGCTCTGCTTGGCTGCACTTGTCTCCATCCTTTGGAATACTGATTTGCATGAACTTATTAGAATAAATGGAAACAACAAATTAGCTTTTTGGACCTTAAAAGGTTTGTACGGAGACGGAGACGCTTTGTATTCCCCTGGCTTCTGTCTGAGGCACCCACTGGCAGACTGCTGATACAATGGAAGCCAGGGGGACAAAACTCTGGGCTGCATCTAATATGTTGGAAGGTGGGAGGAGTCTGGGTTATAGCGGTCCCTGCACCAGAAAGAACCCCAGACTCTCCTATCTCTGAAATGGTAGGACTACTGAAAAATAATTACAAAAGCTTAATTTCTAGTCAAGAAAATAAAATACTAAAAAAAAAACAACAATAATATAATGATAATAATTGAAGAATGAAGTCAACTTGCCAAAAAACAATTTTACAGAAAAATAGCACCTTTGGTAAAAAGTATTTCAAAAATTTGGTTAGGTCTCTAAGGGACTCAAAGTATACAAGTATCTGCATCATTTGTGTGCACCCTCCCAGAAACTCCAAGTCTAAGGGACACCAGATAACTAGAAGGATATATCTAGAAGCAGTGGTTGGGGCCATGAGAAGCACAGATGCTGGAGGTCTATTATGCTGATGGCAACAGGAAGGGCTGGACGCAGAATGTGTTCCTCTCCCCTGAGCTTCCCAAACCCCACCTCTGGGGCAGCCTGCAGAGTTCTCTCTGGCATTGCTTGCACTACCCGCAGCATGTTTATAGCTGTGGCAGACTGTGGTTCAGATCTGGGTCCGCTCCTCTCCTAACCCTGATGCAGTATCCTTACTTGTCTCCAGCCCCTGAGCACCATTTACAGTTGCTCTCAAAGCACTCCTAGAAATGAAGGCTATGGCCCTTCCCCTCCTAGCTGGCCGCCCCCATTTCCTTTATTGCAAAACAAATAGACAAAATAAAAACTCATTGCTATACAAACAAATACTGGTGATTTGGCGATTGTAGCAGACACTTGCATATATTGGACTCAGCGCTGAAGTGGAAGAGAAGGTGCCAGACTCTGGACACCTTCCCAGGTGCCTCCTCTTTAGATCTCTTTGGTGCTCATTTTCTTGGTCTTTTCAGCTGTTTCCTTTGAGAAGCAGGAGAAAAGCACAATTTTAATTGTGAATTATTAAAAAAAATCACTGGCATCTATCTAGTCCTCAAGATTTTATACAGTATTGACAGTATTATGCCCCTGCTAATATTAGTTCTGTTTACTTGTCTGTCTCTTCTGTGGATGAGAACAACCTGAGGACAAAGATCATGTCTTATTTTTGACATGGTCACACCAGGGCTGTCACTGAATTAAAGGCTGACCCTATCTGAATGCCTATGGAACAACAGGTCGACAGGATTATCCCCATTTTATTTTATTTTATTTTATTTATTTTTAAAGATTTTATTTATCTATCATGAGAGACAGAGGGAGAGAGAGGCAGAGACATGGGCAGAGGGAGAAGCAGGTTCCCTGCAGGGAGCCTGATGCGGGACTCGATCCCAGGACCCCGGGATCACAACCTGAGCCGAAGGCAGACGCTCAACCACTGAGCCACCTAGGCGCCCCTAGTTTTGCTAGATGAGGGAAGTCCAACAGAAAATGCCATATGATTTCTGTTATGATGGTATATGATTCTAGTATATGATAGTATAGTATATACTATACTATAGAATAGTATATGATTCTATTTGTGTACGTGCAGAACAGGCAAGCCTGTAGAGTTAGAAAGTAGATGAGTGGTTGCCAAGGGCTGGGCGAAGAGAGAATGTGGAGTCATTTCCAATGGGCCTGGGGATTCTTTCTGGGATAATGAAAATGTTCTGGAATTAAGCAACAGTGATGATTGATAATCTAGTGAATATACTAAAAACCACTGGATTGTATATTTTAAAAGGTGAATTTTATGGTATATAAAGTCTATCTCAATAAAAAAATTAATTAGGAAATAAAAAACAACAGTGCCGGGCATCCAGCAGACACTGTTGGTCTCCCGTTCGTAGCCCCTTGCCTTTAACATTTCTAACTGGCATGGCTTCTTACTGCCAGCACCTGCAACTCTTTGCCTGAGGCTTTCCCTGGCTGCTGGAGCCTGCTCTGCCCACACATGCTGGCAGGCCAGAAATGCCAGGGAATTCATGTTGCTGGTGGCAGCCCTTGCCTTTGGCAGATGGGAGTCTGTGGAGGAACACCCCCGCTCGCTTCCCCGTCAGGCATGGGAACTCTGTCCCCGAGCTCCACAACAGGACAAGTTCCACACGCCCACAGTGGTTACATGCCTGGATATACAATCTTTATTGCTTCCTTCCCTTCCTGGGCTTGCTTCCCAACTCCCCTTCTGGTGTCTCCTAGGATTGCTAAATCAACTATTTGTACTCGAGTCCTTGCCTTAGTGTCTGCTTTCTCAGGGAACTCACATAAAACAGAGACCCAGAAAAATGTAAGCTATTATAATTTACCCCCCCCCACTGTCTACTCTGATCATTTCCCCCACCCCAGGGGGAAGGAATTTCTTTTAGGTTCTTTTTTTCTTTTATGTGATCAGACTCTTCTGGAGACTCAGAGCTAATGAAATATGGAAAAACAGAAGGCTAGGAGCTTCTGCTTTGGCTTAAGAAACTGACATGAGGTTTCTATGTTATCAGTGACAATAATGCCAAAATGCATATTAAAAACTGTCAATGAATATGAGCAATTATTTTTGAACAATTAATATGAATAATTATTTTCAAGTCCAATACTTCATGTCAGTAGTTTAGCAGTTCTTATGACTGTTACATTCCCTCAGAACTTAAGGCAGAGAGAAGGCTTGTATACCAGACCCAGTCTACAGACAGGTGACCTGAGGCACAAGGTCCTTTGTTCACTACATGGTAACCCAGCGGGAAGACAGACTTCAGAGCCTGCACATCCAAGTTCCCTCTCCAGGCCCTTACCCAAGTACGGCCGTGAACTGCTATTCTGCCGAGAGCCTTCTCCCCAAGAAGGCCTTTGACTTAATGGCACAGAACCTGAATAGAATTCTTATTTATTGTCTTCTCAAGTCCCAGGACACAGAATCTCTAAGTTCTCCGGGTTTGTCAATCTCAGGCTGTTTTCTAACCAGCTTGGCATTTAGCTGAAATCCTTTCTGCAGTGGTCTACTTTCACTAACTTCCTGCTCATGGCCTCCCAGGAGCTCGGGGTCTTCGGTTCGGGTCTGGGCATTGGTTGTGACAGGGAACAGTAACAATGCTTCAGCCCCTGCTCACTTGCAAGCCACTGCCAACCTATTTGCAGATCACCACCTGCCTAATTCTTACTTATAAAGCCATTAACCAAGTTGTGACCTACATCTGCTAGGACCTGCTGGACCCTGCAAGGACTCCATCAGGGACCCGTCTGTATCATGATTTGATACTGTGGGTTCATCGTTCAGGACTTACTGTATGGACCAGAGTAACCCCTTGGTCTCCTGGAGCATTAGGCAACATCTGAATGGTGGAAGGGTTGAGTGGCAGGATCAGAACCTGAGCCAGCATGGGGGCTGCAACTCACCTGGTGCTTCTGGAGCTCCTGGACATATCTGGTCATCTCCTCCTCTGTCTGGGTCTGGGTCCCCTTCTGATTCTTTCCTGTAAGCACCAAATTTCAGAGCAGTGGTCACTGAGGGAAGCCAGTTTAGGATTCCCCCAATAGGCGCCTGGGTGGCTCAGTCAGTTAAGTGTCTGCTTTCCACTTAGGTCATGATCTCAGGGTCCTGGGATCGAGCCCCGAATCGGGGGGGGGGGGCCCTGCTCAGTGGGGAGTCTGCTTCTCCCTCTACTCCTCCTCTCTGCTCATGCTCTCTCTCTCTCAAATAAGTAAAATCTAATAAAATAAAAAAAGGATTCCACCAATAACCACCTTTTAGGCTCTCAATTTCATCTCTCATTTAACCAATGGAAGGAATGGTGAACTGCCTGCATTTCTCTGAATATGAAGGGTCCCAGGGCAACTGGCACCTTTGTTCACACCCTGTGAACAAAGCAATCTCCTTCACTATCCTCTGGCCGCTCCTATGTCTCCTTTCACTCCTCTGGCACATCCACGCCAGGCACTGGCCCTGCAATAAAAGCTGTGGGGGTATCTGGGTCTTGACTCAGGAAGATCTTCTAGGCTAGCGAGGCTCAACCATTCACGCAGCCGAAGTATCTACAAAACTTTTCAAGATACAGTTATTTAAATTCCACTTTTAGATTCTATTTTTAATTGTTGTTGGGCACCAGGATTTTATAAGGATTCTAAATGATTCTAATGTGCAGCCAGAGTGGATACCTACTGCATCTAGCAATGTTGCCCAACCTTACAGGGTGACCAAAACAAAACAAAACAAAACAGAATTATCTTAAAAATGTAGGTTCCTAAGCTGCTCTTTTGTGGATTCTGATTCAGTAGGGTTAGGATGGAATCTGTATGTTTACCAAGCATAGTGTTTGCTGTTAGGAAACATCACTCTGCCATGCCTTCTTGAGTTTGGCATTAACCTGCCCCTCAAGGCAGTTTCCTAGCTCTGACTCTACTTGGCTTCACATCTTGATGCCCCCTTTTTAATTTTTTTTTAATTTTTAAGATTTTATTTATTCATGAGACAGAGAGAGAGAGAGAGAGAGAGAGAGAGGCACAGACATAGGCAGAGGGAGAAGCAGACTCCATGCAGGGAGCCAGACATGGGACTTGATCCCTGGTCTCCAGGATCAGGCCCTGGGCTGAAGGCGGTGCTAAACCGCTGAGCCACCTGGGCTGCCCTTGATGCCCCTTTTTCTTTGTCCCCTTGTAATTTATGATCTAAGACCAGACTACCTTTCAGGTACTGACTTTGGAATGCTGCCCCTACAGTGTCCTCTCAGATCATGGCCCACACACCAAGACATGCTTACCCTGGGGCCCCACCATCTCCAATGTTCTTTATACCCACACACGGCCCTGAACCTGGGCCATGCAGAGAGGAAGGGTGGGCATGGCTGTGAAAATGGGCATTGTCCCATGGAGGCCATCGTTTGGCGTTTGTCTGATGCATGTGTTGGAGGTTATAACCCAGATGATCATGCTTATTCTGTAAACCAGCTACTTAACAATTGCCTGTGTCTTAGGAATGGATGGTTACCTGTACAAAGGCAGACCAGGAACAGTTAGGTGTGGAGAGCTACTGCAGGGGCTTTTGGGAAGATAAGTATAGGATGCTTCCTGATTGAGGCAGGTTGGGTAGTATTTTGAGATGTTCTCATTTGGCTTCAATAGCTACTGTGTGCTTAGCCTAGCTACCCTAATTTAGTTTTGATTTCTAGCAACTTCTAGGATTTCTAGTTTCTAAACCGCCTCTTCCTGCTCTTCCATTTGTCTCTGGAATTGTCTTGGCTTCCTGCCTTCCCACACTGAGAAGAGACTTGGTCCTGGGGAGTGAGAGACTAGGGATGCCCCGGTAGGACTGAGTTGCATTTGTACTGTTGCTACTGCCTAGGCTTCTCATCTAGAAGGACCTCTTCTGACCTCTGTCTCTCAGTTACCGTCTAACTTGACCTTCCTAAACATGATCCTAAGATGAGCCTGTTCTTTCTTATCTCAGTTTTTTAAAAAGATATAATTTTAAACTCACCCATCTGGTATAAATTTTGGGCTTGGTTCCTACCAACTGACATTTCTTCTCAAACCCCATGTGCCTCTCCATTCTCAACTTGGCTTCACCTTTCTCTTTTCTGTAATCTTCATCTTTTGTCTAATCTGAATGTTGCTTGTTTTTTTCCTGTGACCTGGCTCTGATTCAAGAGTTTCTTCTGATCTTTGGGATCATTCCAACATGCCATGTGGTTTCTGCACTAGTCCCTCCAAACTGTCTCTGATTTTTTTTTTTCTTAGGGATAACCCAAGTCTGTTAATTCAAAGAGGGCCTAGAAACATTTGTCTTTTTCTGCTGAGTATGGACAGCAAGGCGGGAATCATTCTGTCTTCCAACCACCAGAGTCTTTTACATAGATGATTTCCTCAGCTGTCCTAAGGATTAAGAAGCTGTCATAAGGTCATGGGTTAATATGTGAAGTGCTGAGAAGAGTGCCCAGCACACAGTTCTCACTAAGCATTTGCTTTCATTGTTATTATTATTCTTCCAATCTCATCAACATTTGATCTTGCCCTGCATTTTAAACCCCTCTTATACCAAGTCTCTGGAGTGATTTTTGAACTTAATGGATCTGGCGGAAGTGCTGTGCCCTTGATGCTGCCCACTGGGCACTCTGACGCTACAGGCTGGAGGCTGTTACTTGCTCCCCAGCTTCCTTGCTTCTGGCCACTATGCTCTTCTCCATCATCCCCACTCTGACTTTTCCTATGTTGAATTTGCAAAGGAAGTTCTCTTCCTGCCATTCCTTCTTTCTGCCCTAGGGACAGCTCACCATCACAGGTCATGGCTGTGCAGACCCAGTTTCCACAGGCACAGACGCAACGGTTACAGTCCACCTCGGTCTCTGCTCCGTCTGCATATGTCTCATCCTCCAAGGCACATTCTGTTGGGATCGGAAATAAGAGGCAACAGTTTAGAGTGAGGGTGGAACAGGACATCTTGGCTACCGTCTGTGCACTTTGCGTTTGCTTATCCTTCAGATGCAACATATCTGAGTGAATGACGCCATGAATCCAAAGATTTTTGAACCCTAACCTCAGCATGTAAACGATGGACTAGGGCCCAGTCTAGAATTGTGGAAGGAAGTTTTCTTATCAAGCTCTGGAAAATTCCATCAAGACTCTCTATCTTGGCCCTCCCCAAATGCCCCCATTCCCTACAACTCTGTATTTCTTAGGTTAAGCATACTCTTCTCTGGAGGATTGAAGGTCGGGTTGAGACACTTCAGAAACTCTTGGAAGCTGAGTTTCCAGTCGGCATTTTCATCAGACAGTTCAATGAGAGCATCAACACAGAGTCCTCTGGAATAAAACATAGGAGAAATGTGTCAGCAAGAACTCAGCTTCACGCCAATGGAAAGGAACTAAGCATAATGATCACATACACATGGGGCCCCCCATAGGAGGCCAAGGGGTTGATTGTTAACTGAGGAACTTTCTTTACTGCCTTCCCACAAGCATCATCCATCTTGACTCCTATGAGCATCCAACCTTTACTTTGTTATGCTTGATGTCAGATCACTAGTGTTGTTCAAATGTTCCTCCCAAGAAGACTAAAGTTTCCTGAGTGGTTCTGTCCACTTTAATAGACGTACTCACTGCCCACACACCTTCCATGAGCAATTGCCTTTCCCCAATGTACTGGGGTCAACCAAACTAGGAAAATCAAAACAGAAGGGAGATTGGGGTGCCTGGGTGGCTCAGTCGGTTAAGCATCTGCCTTTAGCTCAGGTCATGATCCTGAGGTCCTGGGATCCAGCCTTGCACCCATCTCCCTGCTCAGTGGGGAGTCCACTTCTCCTTCTCCCTCTGCCCCTCCCTCCGCTCTCTTTCATTCTCTCTGTCAAATAAATAAAGTCTTGAAAAAATCAGAAGGGAGATGAATAGGTGATAGGAATGGAATATGTGATGTAAAGAATATGGCGTTCAAGCAGGCATTGTCACTATCATTATTCTAGAAAGAGAAACGTATGTTCAGAAAAGTTTATGGAGCCACAGTTCCCTCATGCTCCTCTTGACCTGGATTTGAGCCCTGATCCAATCACCTCCTATCCAAATGGCCTTGAGCTAGCTCTTCAACTTCTCTGAGCCTGATCTCTCATCTGTAGAATGAGGACAGGGAGCCCTCCTTCACTGGGATGTTAGGAAGATCAAATGCTGAACTTCTAAAATATTATCTAATTTCAAGTTATCAAAATATGAAGGATTTTCAGATATTATACTGTAAGGTCATGAACTATTACTAAGAAAAAAGTCATTCTAGAATCTGGGCTTCATGCTTTCTACTTCTTCAGAACAAAAGAGGTGCTGTTCCTATTTTTAAATCTTGCTGATGTACTGGAACCACATCGGAAATTTCTCAGGGATTAGTTTTTATTAATATTTACTCTGGAATAATATCAGAAAAGGACAGGGACATGCTCTCATTTGTGACAATTAGGGTTCTCTATGTGAAACAGCACCAATTATCTTAAAAATCAGAACTAAAGCTATTTTTGATTCGCAGTTAAATAATACAGAAATGTAATTCCTTCAGAAAATTAACCATTAAAACCTTCCCCACGATACTCAGCAACACTTTTGCTCTGATGTGACCTTGATAATTTACTTTAAGATTACATCGTATTCCTTGCAAGTTGGGCCAAAAACAACAACTATTTGATCAGATACCAGGAGTGCTCAATATATTAGTTCATAATGTTCACAAAATAGACCAGGACAGAATTCCTATTTGCACTGTAGCTCCTTGCAGATAGGAAGGGATTCAAATCCCCTTTCCTATCCACCCAGCCTTCACCTTGTGGACCACTCCTTGATCCCTCAGCTCCACTCACCTAAGCAGCTTGTTATTCTCCTGGTCTGCATAGGTAGTGATGTTGATGGCAGTCTCATTCTGCTCCACAAATTTCAGTAATTCACTGGAGTCCAAGCGAGAGTCACCATTATCAACGTTCTAGAAAGGGGATGAAGAGATCTTTCAGGAACACTTTGTAGGTCTGTCTCCCACTCAGCTTGGCCCATCTTTGGTTCATCTTGCTCTCGATATACTCTGACCCTGCCCTGGCCTGGCCTCAGAGCTACAGCAACAAAGGCTTGAAGACTTGAGAAGGCACTCACTCCTCAAAACATACAAGTGAAAGTGTGTGGGCAGAGGCCATGGAGGGCCTTTCAAACCCAATACCTTGCTCAGAAGGGCGGCCAGGGCATAGGCCTGTGTTACCCAAGCAGCCCTGGGTGCTTGAGGGCACTCTGCAGCCTCCTCCCTGACACTGCCGTGCAGACATTCTCTGCTTAACATCTTGGTTCGGGCCAGCCACCATACACTGTTCTCATACCTTAATGGACTTGTAACAGGATGCATATCTCTAACAAGCTGCTTGGGAAGAGCAATGCAGGTGACTCTCAGAGCTCACTCTGGGAGTCACAGGACCATGTTTTGCTGTTTGATTTCCCTGGTCTGCTCTTGTGCTTAACATCTATACCGGTACCTCTAACCAAGCACATCAGTGAGAAGTCACAAGCAAAGGCCCTGAATTGATCACCTACAGGCAGAAGGTGGGGGACCCCATCGCAGGCGTGTGCACAGGTCCTTGGCTTACTGAGCACAGGCTGTCCTCATGATCCAGCTGACATCCCACAAGCACAGGATGAGGGTACGGTGAGCTCAGGCATTACCCCCCTCTTTGGCAAGATAGTCCTAGACCATAGCCATTTGGGACTATTCAAAATGCCCAGGTCCCAGCTGCAGGAGGAAGGTGTCGATTTCAAGGTCTTATCAAATTCTAAGTTGATATGGCTGCTCTCTTAAATAGTTCCAATGGGGGGAAAAATGTTTTTTAAAAAATTCTTTCCCTAGGCTGCCTCGTACTGCTGCCTTGGGCGATAACCAGCATTCCCATGTTACTTTCAAGGTGGGTCCCCAGGTGGTGTAAAGGCTTCTGGAAGAAAAGTCGGTCCAGTCTTCCTGGTAGAAGGGACTCCCCTTCCATGACTGTCATGGGTCACATGCATTCTACTCTAAGGTTGTAAATCTTTCCATGGTGTGTATAATGACAGGTATGTATAAAACAAACTATGTCAGCCCTTCCTTAGTACCTCTTCATTCTTGTCCCAATTCCTAGCAACAGGTCTCAGATGTTTTCTAGTCACTATACATTCACCCTGAGGAAACTGCCCTTCACCTTGTGAAGGTTCAATTAATTAATGGAGAGAAATGATATAAGGTTGGCCAGGTGTCATTCTTAGCAGGGCAGGACTTTCTTGATTCCAAATGTTCTAAGTGCTAGACAGACAGAAGCAATTCTCATGGACTCCAACGCCATCACGGCCTGAGGAGAGAGTGAGCCTGAAGACCTGGTGCCCTATGGCACCTGGGGACACCAGGAGCCTGTGACACATGGGCCAGGCAGCTCCCAAAAGACAGTGTTGCGTGCACACACTTCATATTCAGGAGGGCCAGAATCCAGGCCTAAAGCTGAGAGGAGAGCCAGCCAGGCCTCCCCAGGCCAGCTCTATTGTGGAATCCACAGACCTCCACCAGCCGCAGAAATAGCCTGGATTGCCTGGAAGGCTCGCCTAGGGGGTCATGAACTTGGATCATGGATCAACGTAACTCGCTCCACTTCTGTTCAGCCAACCAGTGACAAAAGGCACAGTACCTCTGTATGCCTGCATTTCCCAGCTCTATCTATGCTTGATGTAACACCCCTTCCTTCTGTGTAACTGTAGGGTTGTAGGAAGGCAGGAATACATGTGATACAAAACTAAATATGTTTTGGCTTAGTGCAAATTTAGAGACTATTCAGTGGATGGGCTACGTCAGGCACTCGCTCACACACAGCACCTATGGAGCTAGGGGACATGACACCAGAGTAAGGGAGGTAAGTCTGGCTCCACTCGTGGCCTTGGCCACCAGGGGTCTGCCACCAAGAGTCCAGCGTGTGTATATGATGTGGCCATGACAGGTTCTCTCTACCCGGGTCTGTTACATGTTCACTGGAGAAATCATGAATGAATCACTAGGTAAGGTGAGAGTCTGGTTTTGGTCTTATCCAAATTCTGATTATATTTTCTTTTCAACTAATTTTGATATAAGGAATACCAGCTGAGTTGGAGGGCAGTTCACTGGTTCAGAAACAGTTTCCATGAGATATCAGATCTCTCACCGATAGGCAGCTGTTTGCCTAGTGGGAAGGAATCTCCCTAGGAAGACTGCACCACACAGGACTCCAATATTCATCAAAAAGTAGATAGTGAAACCCTTTCACAGAAGACACTGCCAGAGTGTCTGGCATAAGCAAGCGTGTGTGTGTCAGTCATGATCAAGCTTCCTTGGTCAGGAGTGGGAATGCCCTAGAGGAAGCTACTTTCTCAACTGCCGGAGCAGGTGAAGAGGTGTCAAGGGGGGTGTGGGGCCCAGGTACTAGGGAATCAAAGTAATAACAGGTGCCATTGGTGCCTGAGGTAGGGTGTCACCAAGGGGCTACTATGAATGATTACAAGGTCCCAAGAGGCCCCTTGGAAAGAAGGTCCTGGGTCTCCTGGGCCTTGGCGGCCATGGCAGATGTGGCTCGTGCTCCTCACTCAGCTTCGGAAGAATCATTTTCTTCAAGTTACTTTCTGCTCCTGGCTCAGCACTATAACATATTTTTCTGTATTTGAGGAACCACCCTCTGCCCCAAGGGCTCTGTAGTGTTGGCAGATTGAGACAGAGGACAGATGAGAAGGGCTGTGCTTTCTCCACCAGGTGCGATCTCAAACACTTGGAACCCAGAGAGAACTCGCTAAATGCAGTCACACAAGTGAAGTCTTAAATGACCAAATACCCAGTCCAGTATTTCTTTATCCATGAGGTCCATAATGTCAGTTAGGAAGAGGAATTAAAAAAAAAAAAAAGGAAGAGGAATTCACAGATGAGGCTGGTATTGAGCATGTGTGTTGGCCACAGAGCTGCCAAAGAATCCCTCATGTGCTGCCAAGGAATCCTTCAAGTGTCTGGGGTAGCTTCTGAGTCCAGGCTGGGTGTGGCCTGGGACAGGAGGCCCTGGAAGCACGTGAGAACATATACCCCTGTGGATGAGCATGAGGGCATCTACCTAGAGATGTGCATCTGGGGTAAAGGGGGCTTTTTTGCTTAGCTGGGAATGTGGGTATCTGAATGTGTGTCTGTGAGTAGGCTGTGTCTCTGTGTGGGGAGTGCATCTCTGTATGTGGGATGTGTGTGTCGTGTGCATGGTCTGCTTGTGGTATTTTTACCCCTGGGTGTGACAGACATATGTGTGTGTGTGTCTGTGTTCTTGTCAATCAGCTGGAAGTGCGCCCTTAACTGCTTCTTCTAACAATGTCTCCAGCTCTCTGAAAAATCTACGTGCCATGGGAGCCCTACTCATGGCAAAATATTATTTCCAACCTTTTCCAAAGCAGGATCTCTCCTGTCCCCAAGTGGAACAACCTGTCTCCTACACTAAATGATGAGACAAGCAATATCTAGGTTCATGAAGAATCCTAGATCCATGAAATGCCAGTCCATCGACTTCTCTGATGAGGAGGAGCTCTACAGGCCAGGGACAGTCAAGCTAATGACTTAGAGAAATGATAAACTGAGGGGGAAGGAGGCTGAAGCAGCCTGGGTCTGGGTGAGATCAGAAGTCATAGTGTATCAACAGCTAGCTCTAGGAGGTAGAGGGTGGGGGGATACATACAGGATAGGGGGACAGAGCCTGGCCATATACACATGCAGTAGATCCCAAAGGCTCTACTGCTGGAGTCCCAATGATCAAGCTGATCAGAAAGCAACTATCACGGCTTCATGGAGTGATGGAAGATGTGATGGGGCAAGGGAGAGGAAGTCGGGAGAGGAAGTCTCCCCTTATCTGGAGCTGAAGAGTTAACCCCAACTCTGGATTACCTTAAAGTACTTGTCTAGGATTTCACTGTAGTTGCTGCCTTTGGAGAACCAGCCATCTGGAATAATCTCTGCTTCCAGCCACTGGATGATGCGACGCCGGAGCTCATCGCGGTTGGACTGATAGCAAACGACTGCAGGAGAGGGGAGGGAGGTCAGCTGAGCAGTAAGGACCTCAGTGTCACCCAGCAGCCATTCTGTGGGAGGTTTGGCGCTTGGGGCTCTGTATATGGCATCTTATTGAATTTCCACAGCACTCCAGGGACACAAAACTATCACACATGTTTGACAGGAGTCAATACATAATGGACAACGGAAAACGTCCAAACCAGGATTCAAGCTTATGTTTCTTTCTTTCTTTTTTTTTTTTTTAATTTACGATAGTCACACAGAGAGAGAGAGAGAGGCAGAGACACAGGCAGAGGGAGAAGCAGGCTCCATGCACCGGGAGCCCGACGTGGGACTCGATCCCGGGTCTCCAGGATCGTGCCCTGGGCCAAAGGCAGGCGCCAAACCACTGCGCCACCCAGGGATCCCAAGCTTATGTTTCTAAAAAAAATTTATAACAATCGAGAATATTGAAATAAAGAGACAATGCTACTTAGGTGAGGAAAACATAAAGCAGAAAAATAAAGGGCATTTTCATTAACTTCAGGAAGCTGAGGGGGAAAAAATCAATCAATCAATCAACAGCTCTCTTGGCTCAAAGCTGAGCTGAAATAATAAGTGAATGAAGGAGCACATTATAATTTTTCATGCCACCAGATTTTAAATTCTCTATAGCTTTTTCCTCTGCCAACTGGGTCTATCAAAACTCTCCTACTTAAAATTTTACACTGTCTGCATTATCCTTTGTTCTAAACTACAGAACACAAGGTCAAGAGAGGGCCATGCTGTAATCCTGCTCTGAACAGCTGTTGTAAGACACATGGCAATAACAGGTGGGATTGAGGGTTGGGTAGATGGGGGACAGAGAAGGGAAAGCCTTGGCAAGAGGAAATTCCTGGAAGACAACACACACTGGGATGTGCACAGGGCCCTGAGCCAGGGGAACAGAAATGTGGGTGCCACTTCCAAGCTCTGTAATTCAGGGAAATTCACTTAATCTCCCTAAGCCTCAATTTCCTCATCTATGAGGTCATTACAATAAAGATGACCTCATATTATTTAAAGAACTAAGGAAAAGCATACGATAAGATTCTGTACTTATCATGATGAAATTTTAATTTTTACCCATAGAAAACCATGGAAAAAGTCTTACTAGCATTTCCAATTATCTCCCGTCAAAAGAAGTTGTGCTTTCTGATTCCTCTAGTCCTGTGACATCAGCATGAATTACAGAGCACTGAAGGAAAGATTCGGTGGCTTTTCTGTTCTTTTAATGCAATCACTACTCAGCAAAAATGGAAAACACAGCCAACATTCTGACCCAACCAGCTGCTTCAAATGGCAAGCACAAAAAAAATGCAGTTTTGCAGCTTTCCCGAGCTGTGTTGAGGAGTGACCAGTTCTGGGTCACAAGTTCTGACAGACAGATCTTGTGAGCTTCAGCAGAGACCGTGAAACACAAAATGCCCTCATAAAAAGAATGTCTTTCCTAAAATGCACCCTGGAGAGAAAAGAGGCACTCACCTGGGCTGGCAGATGGACTCACGGATTTCTTCTCTGCAAATCAAAAGGAGGACACGCATAATACAAAGTGAAGACAAAAGAACATTTCTGTGTATTGCGAGGATTAAAACCATCCCATGTTAAGGGGGCCACTTACACCCTTTTCGTCATTTTGTCCTGGACCCTGTCTCCTTTCCTTCTTCCAGGGCCTGAGCATGGGGATTTTTTTCTTCGCTGCTTTATTTGACATTTTTGGGAATCGAGTTGCCCTCCAGGTCTCATACCTCCTCCTGTGAGGCTGAGGGGTGGGAATGGGTTGCTGGGACTCTGGGTATCTGGAATAGGTTTCTGGAATCATTTTAGAGAGGGAAATAGAGTGGAGACTCACACGTGGGAAACAGTTTCTTATTTCACCAGGACAGGTCAAAGCTGAGAGGGGCTGAGTGGGGCTGTGGCTTGGCAGGCTAATTAGCAACGAGCTTGGGAGCCCCTCCCTCTTATCCTAATGGCAATGATTTGAGTGCAAAATAGAAGAAATATATAAATCAGAGTTGAGACATGCCCAAATTTAAAAAGTGAAATTCAGGGCGCCTGGGTGGCACAGTCAGTTAAGCATCCAACTCTTGGTTTCAGCTCAAGTCATGATTTCAGGGTCGGGAGATGGAACTACACATCGAGCTCCATGCTCAGTGTAGTCTGCTTGGGATTCCCCCTCTCCCCCTGCCCCTCCCAACTGTACTCTCTCTAAAATAAATAAAGAAATCTTTAAAAAAAACAAATAAAAAATGAAATTATCTGCTTTAAAAAGGTAAATAATTCATTTAAACCCTTCTTTATTATTATCGATTACTGATGTGGTCCCCTATCCATTGCAGACAGTCCTGGAAGCCCCCGGGGGAAGCTGATGCAGGAAACCCTGCGCAGAAGCCAGTAGGCTCATGAGCGCCAAGAGCTAGGTGGCCTCTGTGGCTTTGGGTGCTGTGGTCAAGTGGAAAGGGCTCTGGGAAGCCAGGTCACACTGCTGTGTTCCCTGGCTCCTCTGGCTGGAGCTGGGAGATGGTGGTAAGAGCACACCTTACCTTTGCAGTGTCCATCATAATCGACCTGGATTTTGGATCCAGTGAGGCAGGCGTCTCGATGCAGCTCACAGTGGTTGAGGTAGGTCTTGCCGTTGCTGCCGCACACAGGCCTCTTGTGAGGTTTGCATTGCTGAAACAGACCCAAGGAGGATGTCCGTGCAATCAGGGTGCCAACACACGCATGCATACACACACACACACACACACACACGCACGCACACACACACACACACGTGCAGCCTGTGGGTGCACCCTGATAGGGAGCCTCAGCTCTGGCATCGGGAACTCTACCCCACTCGGGGTTGGAGGCATGCATCATTTTGCAGCCCTGCCTGGTCCCCTGGGCTGATCCCGGTTCAGGGTCATCTCTTCCATTCAGGGAAGAAACAGACCACCCTGACCCTATCAAATTAGCAGCGGGGGCATTTTATTAGAAGTCAGGAATGTGAATGCTGTGTCACTTTGGAGAAAGTCACTCAAGGTCTTTAGATGAATTCAGATCCTTTAAAACACCAACATTCTATGACACAAGAGCCAGATTGAGAGCAGGGAACGTGGAGACTGATAGGCAGGTGCACGCATGCGCACACGTGCCCACACACACCCTCCCTCCCTCCCCCAATTCTTCAGTTCCTTCGGGGTTTAACTAGAAGGATTTTTGCTCTCTTGCTTTGTGTAGTATTTGGGGGCCATTCTGTTTTCCTCCTGCTCTCACAAGGCCTGTTGGGAGGTGGGGCTGGAGACGCCTGGGTCTTTGTGAAGTGCTACAGGGAATCGTTATGGACAGGGAAATGGACTAAAGTTCACTTGGCAAGTCGGTTCTCTGTTGGCTATTTCAAGGGCCATGGCCACAGGGCAAGCCCGATGTCTTTAGGCTTTTGTGGTTTTTGAAAGGTGGTAAGGGGGAACCACATTCAGCTCAGCCCTGATAAAGGTACCAAAGCAAGAAAGAGCATATCTGGTAAGAAGCAGCATGGAACACTGGAGCTGGAAGGTAGCCCTGCTTCTCTGATTTTAGATGAAAATACCAAAGCCTGGGAAGACAAACTTCATTTAACCAATATCAATTACTGAGTTCTTGCTAAATATTCCACATGCTAGATAAACATGGTCTCTTGTTTTCACAGTGTCCAGTGACAACTGACTTGCTCAAAATCACACAGATCTTATGTGGTCAAGGTGAGGCTAGACGCCAGGTTTCCTGACTGTAAGTTCAGGTTCATACCACCACACAGTGGCCAGGTACACCTCTGGCAAGGTCCTCCTAAGGCTCCCAGTATGTCCTGTTTTCAGGTTTCTAAGCTGAGGGGGGGGGGGGGTCTTCCTTTCTGGACAATGCTCAGGATCCTTCACCTGGGGACTAAATTGGGTGTATTTATTTGCAGAAAGACAGATATAGTTCTAGGTTTGTGTTGGTTTGACAGAAAAGGGAAGGAAGGTATTTATGTTTGCCTGAAGAGTGAGACCTTGTTAGAATCCTACTTACAAAAGAAGTATTTCTCAAATGCTCACATTGCATTTTATACCTCATTAAAAACAAGACCCACTAAAAAACAATCTTCATTTCATCTAGTATTTTTCTTTTTTTTTTTAATTTTTATTTATTTATGATAGTCACAGAGAGAGAGAGAGAGGCAGAGACACAGGCAGAGGGAGAAGCAGGCCCCATGCACCGGAAGCCCGACGTGGGACTCGATCCCGGGTCTCCAGGATCGCGCCCTGGGCCAAAGGCAGGCACCAAACTGCTGCACCACCCAGGGATCCCTCATCTAGTATTTTTCTAAAAACATGCATATCCTTTGACGTGGCAAGTCCTACTGGGAGTCAATCCTATAGAAACAAAGCAGCAGCATTAAGGATAGTTGTATAAGGGTTTTACTGTCTGTAGTGGTAAACAACCTAAATGTCCATCTATGGGGAAATTATTGCATAAATATGATGCTATTACAAAATATTTATTATGATCCTATTTTTGTATAAAATAGGAGGGGAAACCCTATATACTTATAGTAGCATAGAAAAAAACGTGGAATAATATATACCAAGCCATTAACACTGGTCATCTCAGACTAACTGGATTTGAGGGTTATGGGGAAGATTACTAATTTTATGTTTATACAAATGTATTAACTTAATAAAGCATTACTAAAATTTTAAGCTACAAAATCTTATAAAACTAAACATTTTTTTAAAAAAAGAATATCCCTTGTCTTTCAATAGATGACGTATGCTTTTATAAAGGTGATGAAATTGTTGGCACTGCTCTGCTGACAGCCGCTGCAGCAAGGTAGCCGTCTGGCCTATTGGCCTCTAGCTTGTGACCTCAGGACTTACCTCAATGCAGAGGCAGGTGGGCTCTCCCTTCTCCGTGACTGCACATTCCCGGCCGGCTCCACAAAACACATTGGCACAGATCTTGGATTTGCTCCTTAGTTCTTCCTAAAACACAAAGTCATAAGGGGAACCAGGTCACAGAGATGAGCCTGTCATGGCATAAGCCAATGGCGGCAGTTACTCTTCAGGCTCTGGTCTTAGTCTGGAGTTGCAGCTCATGGTTGCCAAAGGGTCCTGAAACAGCTAGAATCTGTCCCCAACAGCCAGTCCTGGACTTGCTGGTACTGCTCCAGCCCGGGCCCAGCTACCTCCGAGTCCCTCAGATTGTTTCTTAAAGAGCAAGAGTCTCTTTCTTATGTGCTTCCTTTCTTTTAAAAACGGTTACTGAATACCCCCCTCTATGCCAACACTACAGTAAAGAGCTATAAAGGCACCGTCTCTGTCCTCAAGAAGTGCCAGGACTCTCTGAGGAAGCTCACAAATAAAGAGACATTTAGAAATCAACATGCAAGTGCAGCAACAGGACACCAGGATCCGGAAAAGGGGGAAGGAGGGCAAGAATCAAATGAGACTTTCTAAAGACAGGATGCTTAACTAATTCCTAAAGGATGAGAAGAGTAAGTTAGATGGAAATAGAGACCTGTGAGAGAAATATGGCTATCTGGAGGACCACAATCTCGCTGAGTAGTGATCAAGGGAGTATCATTTCAAAAGACAAAAGAAGGATCACTAAACCATCAAAACATGGAATTGGTATTACTTGATAGGGTCTAATTCAGCCCCTGTCCACATCTGCCTCTGGCTTCAAGACCAAGAGGGCCAAACCACTCGACAGACAGTAGAATCATCCTCAAACCCCGTGTGGTCAGACATTCCTGTTCAGACGTGTGCAGCAGAACCTACAGGGAGGGAGTGGTCCCAGTCTCTGCCACTGAAAATGAGTCTTTACAGGCCCTACTCTGTCCATGACACATTCCTTCCCTCCCATTGACTGGTGGCTAAAAAGCAGCCCCACCTCATTCGTCACACAGGCCAGCAGTGGTGGTGGCTGAACAAAGGAGAATGTGATTCCTCCAGCCCTTGTGTGACTGCTGAGCAGCAGTCACCACAGGCCCCCAGGCCCCCCGCCCACTGGGGTAGCACTGGCTGTGTGACAAAACCAACAAAGATGGCAGGCGCTGTGGTGGGGGCGTAAAGGCAGACAGGGAGCCTCAGATGCCTCCCTTCAGGCCATGTCTACCATGTCATGCAAAGAACTCACACCCGCAAAGCTTGCAATACTAAAATTCTTGTAGTTGGTATACGTTTCCTATCTAAGAAGTCAAAGAAAACAACAAAGTGGATACTGAGAGCTGAGGGCTGTGCCCAATACAGTTGGTCTGCTGCCACCTGGAGGCTGCTTTGCAAACTCCAGGTTATTATTGTCTCTCCCCAGCCATCTTGCCTGTCATGCCAGGATCCCATTGGTCCAGAAACTCTTGCCACACTCACACTTCATTGGTTCAGATGCTGTTGCTAAACCCATTCTTTTTTGGATGTTGCTAAGGCGAATTCAATAAAGCTGGCAGGCGGGGAAGAAAAGAGGAAGTAATTCTCAGAATGCTGGGAAGCCTGGAGAGCTGTTGTTTCCTAAACCAGGAGCGGAGATAAATCAAGCATATTCTTGGGGCAGGGCCCTCCTAACTGTGCCTGGGAAGGGAAAAGCAGCTCTAAAAAGGAAGGGGAAAGGCTATTGCTGACCAGGGTAAAAAAAAATCTCAGATAAGACTATCTTCTTTCCCCTTCATGAAATAACGCTCTTGCCAAGAGATACAGACAAATAAATCCATAAAAGGACATGACCGGCATATGGCTACGCTCTAAAGACACCAGTTCACAGCTCCACGGGCCGACCTTTTACCACTTAGCTGTGTGTCTCTAAGTAGCGACTTTAATTCTTTGAACCTCACTTTCCTCATCTATAAAATGGGGGTCAGTCCCAGCCCTGACTTGTGCAGATGAAACAGTGTTGGGAAGGGCATCACAAACTGAAAAGCAAGCAGAGCTTCCTGCAGACTAGCCTGTGGCATGTACAGAGCTTCTTTTACCTTCTGTTACTGTTTTTAAAGTATGAAAAAGAAAAGCTTTAACTTCCAGGTTGAATTCAACCCAAGCCATTTTTTCAGAAATGGTCCTCCAAAATCACGTGAAGAAACAGATACTCTTTATTTAAAATAGAAAGCTGCCTTTGGCTCAGGTCATGACCCCTGGGATTGAGCCCTGCATCCCTTGCATCAGGCTCCCTACTCAGCAGGGAGCCTGCTTCTCCCTCTCCCTCTGCTTGCCATTCCCCCGCCTGTGCTCTGTCAAATAAATAAATAGAATCTTTAAAAATATAAAATAAAAACTAAAATAAATAAATAAATAAAGCCTAATATTTGAATAGTCCAGTTAAAATTTACAAAGTGTTTTCACACATATGATTTCATCTTACTGTAGGAACAACCCTGCAAGGACATGCCTATTATTAACCTCATTTTATAGATGAGGGAGCTGAAGATCAGGAAGGTCAAGTAACTTACCCAAAGATCCCAAAGCTAAAAATGAGAGGAGCTAGGATTCTAACCTGGATCTTCAGACAGCAGACAAGTACATTCCCATTTATAAATACCGGGCTCTCTGCTTAGGTGATTTGGATTATACGTTATCTCCCTTAAGCCCTAAGATAACGCCATGAGTTAGACATCCTAACTTTCCCCATTTCATGGATGAAGGAACTGAGCCTTAGAGGTTAAGTAACTAACACGACAGAGCTAGGATCCTACTCAACAAAAGGGAAAGCAGTTCCTTTATCCTTGATTGACTTTCATATCCAGAAGATTTAAGGTGAAGGAGATTATGACAGGGGTGTGATTTGCATAATTAGCAAATGTGAGAAAGTGCTTACAAGTGCCTCAGAGAACTACATTTGAATTCCCACATCCCACCTCTGCTTCTTACGTTGCCATGGCAACGGGCAAGGCACTTTCCTTAGACCTCGGTTTTCTCATGTGTGAAATGGGAACATTAATCCCCGCAAGGGGTGTGTGGGCATTAGAGGAGGCAAGCTGCCTGCAGCAGAGTGCCCGCCACTTGGCTGAGAGCTGCCGTAGCTACTGACTCTGGACAACTGCGTCATTGGGTGCCGTTACCACCTTGGTGGTCATGTCCCCACCCAGCCTCTGTCACCCTGGAATGAGGATACTGAGAGCGGGAGGGCTGGCTGAATGGAAAAAAAAACAAGGGTGAACAACCCCCGTCCCTTCCTATTTAAGACCAAAGAGAAAGGGGGGCAGCGCTAGTCACACTGGCATCCCTCTTTGCAGGTGGCACATCTGTCAATAGGTGGCAATCTCTCTCTGTCTTGCAGAACTCAACGCCGCAATGCAGAGATGCAGCCTTGGCTCCTGCAGCCTCACCCTCCCAGCCAGCGAGATGTGGGGTGGGAGGCGGGAGGGCGGGGTGGGGAGAGCACCCCACAGCCACAGGCAGCAGATACAAAGAACAGGATTTTTGCCGGCTTGGGAAAGAATGTCCCACCTGAAGCCGTCAATCTTCCCCAGTTGTTCCCACTCACAGGCGTGCTTTAGTGCAGAAAACAATGAAAATTTTCTTCCTAGAGGTGGCCTCTTTGTACCATTTGAAAGCCCTTCTCCAAGTCGTATCTTCTTGGGGAATGGGATGTCAGGAGCACCTCTGAAGCTCCTTGGCATAGTAAGTGGTCTTACGCCTCTGCTGAGTGGAGATGATGCATCTGGCATAAACAAGCTCATGGAACAAGTCTGCCTGGTGGGGAGGGGTGTGGTGAGTAAGGCAGAAAAGAAGCAGGGCAGCAGGTGAATGTGGTGCTTTGGAATATTAAGGTGTCTGGTCCCTTCCACCTCAGAAATTCAGACTCAAAGTGGAGGGCAGCCTGGATGGAGAGAGGCTGGAGGCACCAGTGGAGGGTGACAAGGGCCTACGGTCCAATGCTAATATGAATTATAGCACCTACAACTGAGTGAGGCCCTTCACAGATACCTCTGTCCTCGCAGCATCTGTACGAGTTTCCATGTTTTTAGTCCCATCTCACAGATGGGGAGGGATTTAAGATTCAGAAAAGCTCCATGACATACAGAGGCCACATGATGAGCAACAGCCAAGTGAGGACTGAAAGACAGGTCAGCCTGGCGCTGGAGCCTCAATATTCCCTTACAGGGAGGGAACAGTCAAGGGAGGGAGCTGTGGGCAGAGGGGACAGCACAGGGAGAGGCCACAGAGCACCATGCAGTTCTTTTAGGAATTAGGTCCCAAGGCTATATGAGAATTTCATCTAAATAGACAACCACACTCGCATATGAATTGCTCTACGAGCGTGAGGTCACAGATGTGCAAACCCCTAAGTTGGGGTATTCCTGTGAAAATGTGATTCACTGAGTGGGGTCGGGAGGGGTGTGTTTTGAAAGTGTGGACACTGATTATGTTGATAAAAGTCAACAAAATACTTGCTTCCAATGGAGAAGCATCGGGTTTCTGGCTTTGACTTTCTGCATCATCTCCCTGACCTGCTTCTATGTTGTTTTCGTTACGTGTTGTAAACCATGTTCTGGGGCTTTGGTCTCGAGGTTGTTAAACTTCACAACGCAAACTCCCCCAGGTAAAGGGCTGACGGGGAACATTGTCAAATGTTACTAGGGGAACAGCTTTCTCCCTGGGCAACCGTTAGCCATTGCATGATAATAACACTTTATACCTGAAGAGCAATTTCAATTAGTCTTAATTTTTTACTCTCATTTTTAATTCTCCAAATCCTTTAGGATAGGCAGGCAGGGGTTACCTTTAAGGCACTTCCAGACTTAACATCCAATGATGGAGAAGAAACTGAGGCTCACGGCTGCGTGTGACTGGTCTCTTCAGACCTCATAGTTGCAGAGCTGGGTCCTGGCCTAAGGTCTCCAGACTTTAATTCCAGCCCTCTTGCCACAAACCACTTTGCCTCATTACAAATCAAAGCTAGAAAAGGTGTTGCTATGGATCCAAAGTCTAAAAGAATAAATTAGTTTTGCTGTTAAAAGAGATCCTTTGCAAGCAAAGTACAAAGCAAGTTA